TTGGAACGCTTTGATCTGTCAGACGTGTTGTTTCCTAAATCTCTAAAGGTATGATTTAGATCTTTAGTATTTTTGTTATATAGCATCATGAACATGTTCTCAGTTGGCTTTAGCACTGATTTAAATTTTTTTTAAATTTCGTTGCGCACTCGATGCTGTATTTTCCAACAACATGCCACACATTTCACTTGTGGATTGACTTATGCCACAACTCTTAAAACTATTACAAAATTTAAAATTAGTTTATTGACCAAAATATCCATAGACTAAAATTAGTGAGAATATCATGCCATGTAGTGACGGAGCTAAGATTTATTGGTAGGGGGGCTAATTTTTTTTAATCAAGATTATACTAACATGTATATATATGTAATAATTTTTGTATATTAAATTAATTCATGGTTCAATAAAATGTAGAGAATTATTAATTTAAGAGGGGCCAAGTCTGATTTATACACATATCTACTATAATAAAATTAAAACTACTATACTCAAAAAAAAAAAAAAAAGCTTGGGGGGGCATGGCCCCCCTCTGCCCCCCCTCCCTCCATCATTGATGCGATGTCATCACGACATAATTTGATACCAGTAGCAAGGTGGATACCAACGGTTACTAATCAATACCTGGTCGATATCATAGGGAATAATGTTGGTATCGCGACGACTACCAATTACTGTTGCTATTACTGTGGATACCGAACGGTGTCGAGGTAGATATTGATTGGTATCTCAAGGGTGTAATTAATATTCCAAAATATGGTGTGATGACATGACATGATATTCTCACAATTATTTATTTCTTAGGCAAAAGTCAATCCAAGCCTTGGATTTATGACATTCCTGTAGTAAGCCCTATTAGCCGTGCTATAGAGATTATTAGTTAGTACTAATCCAGCTCAAGACCAAAATATTGAGCCATGACCAGACATATTATCAGATATCAATGATTATATGCCAGTACACCCCAGGTGGGGATTTGTTTCCAATTGAATATACAAATTTAATTCCAAATTTAATAAGGATTCGTGGAACTCAAGCGTGCAATTCATGCCACACAATACGTGTGAGTATGCATATATATATATATATATATATATATATATATGTAGGAAGAACCACTTGCCTTCCATGTCAAGCAAGTTATTGAAGCAGCCGAACATACAGATTGGTGAATAGAATTGATATGCTTTTGTTAAACCAGACGGGCAGATTATTTCATGAGGTGAAAAAGAGAGAATTCACAAGTTAACCTAAAGAAAAAAAAAATGAATATTTTTTCTAAATTAGGAATTTCAGAAGCCAGGGCTATACTATTTTTAAGGCTTTCCATATGGAAACTTACAAATGATGGGCAATTTAGTTGCAAAAACACCAACAGTCTAACACAGATTGTTCTGGAAGAGACACTAAAGTCACTGACAGACTAAGAGCAAACTCACCAACATGGTAATAAAATCCTTAAACCAACAACCCAAAATATGTTGATCGGGTTGAGCCAACAAGTCCAAATAAAACTACATGCAAATGTAACGAAATACGGGGTATGCGACTGCAAATCCGAAAGCAATGCATCTTTAGACGGATAATCAGAGAAGCAGAACAAAATTATGAAGTGATTTTCTAGACTCGATACTCTCGAGAAATAAAAGGAACTATCCATCTATTTATCATGGCAGCTGAAGTACTCTAAGAAAATGATTCTGCCAGCAAGAAGAGCAATATTTAACTCCTCTACAAGTCTAATTTTTCTAATTCATTCTATACTTATATTTTATAGAGTATGTGCGTGTATGTGTGTAGTAAAGTCATGAATTAGTTTACTTTTACAAATTGAAGGAAAGAATATTAAAATAAAAACCAAAAACAATTTGAAATTGCTTCAGCATTGGCAATTTTAGTCATAGGTGACGCAAGTTTTGGGATATAGCCTTACAGCATTCAGATTGATCTGTTAGATGCCATCAACTCCGATGGGTTTTGTTGTCTACCCTAGATAAGTTATCACAAGAAACCGGACTGGCATAACCATCTGTTAGGATCCTGGTTGAGTCCCACATTGCTAAAGTATGGGCTTAGCATGTGGGTTTATAACCATTTGGGCACCCTTTCCTTACAAGTTAGCTTTTGGAGATGAGTTCTACCCAAGGGTTATAACAATTGGTATCATAGCATGCTCCTCCTTAGGCCCACGTTGCGGAAGGGGCGACCTGGAAAGGCCAGAGTGGCCCATCCAGAGTGGGCCACCGTGGACGTCGGTGTCGAAAGCGTGGTGGTATGTTAGGATCCTAGTTGAGTCCCACATTTCTAAAGTATGGGCTTAGCATGTGGGTTTATAACCATTTGGGCACCCTCTCCCTATAAGCTAGCTTTTGGGGATGAGTTCTACCCCATGGTTATAACACCATCTAAGCCAATAATTTAGATACAATGGAAGAAGATAGAAAGCTCTATCACTCTTGGCACCAGTTCATATGTTAAAACTTAAACTTCAAAAATCCAAGCCCTTTAAAAAGCGGCAAAGGAACTTAAAAAATAAAAGCAAGATGAATATAGCTCCTCTCATAGAATCCCTCAAGTTTTTACCTTATGAATGGCAAACCAGAATGAACTCGTCTTGCATATGCATCATACTGCAAGCCAAAAACCGCTGCACAACACAAAATACTCTTCATACGGTATTCTTTGACAAAAGAAGCGCCAAAAAACGATCGCAAACCCAATTGTTGACAAAGGATTACAAAGCATTATCTGGGTGCCGATTGACCATATGAAGAAACCAGAGTACCATGGATGATGTATATATCTATAGATTCCATGTGTAATCAGTTTGTGATGCTCATCACGATGAGTCCTAATCATGTAGTGAAGGCAGTGCCGGCAGTTATGATCGCTATCTTACGAACAATTTCCCCGTCCACAACCATCACAAGCCCAAAGTAGCTAATCCACCAGTGTTCCTTCAGTTGAGGGAAGAGGACTTCAATCAAATACTCCACCAACGAAAATATCATCACGATGATATAATTTTGGCTGATGAGAAGAGATCCAAGAGCAACATTTGGCCGCCCATGAAAGGCGATTGCTAATAGGTACTCAGAACTATGGAAATAGAATACTGCAAAAAACATCTCAGACAACTGTATGCGAGCAGTGGGAGTGAGGACTTCCATCATTTTGGACAATAAGAGTAAAGTGCTCAACTGTCTTAGTGAAGAACTAGTTTGCCACTATTGTTGCGAAACCTACATTAGTTAACTAAGCAACTTGCCCGAGGAAGATTTACTTCAGACCAGATAAATATGAAGAGCCATTTGGCATTAATGATGGATTTTGTCTCCTCATCACTCCAATCATCCTTCAAGAATGACATTATGACATGACATCTTCTGCTCAAATAAAAGGCATTGAAGAAAACAGTATAAAACACAGGAATGTATATAAATTGTCAGGGAATCACTGAGCAAGAGATGCTAATATTTGTCTTCCATGTTCTTCAGCATACAAAGCAAGTTTTTAACATCAAATAATAAAAACCAAATTTTGAGAGTCAGAGCAGATAAAATTTACAAGCCATACTTAAAAATCAATATAATCAAAGTAAAAAGCTAAGTACTAAATTGTCTCCAAATTGCGAATATAAATTGTGGAGAATATGAACTTTAATCAAAGGACAGACTAGGAGGATATTTCTCATATACGAACAAGTTTCAGAAAAACCTCTATAATACTAAAACATCGAAAATGTCAGATTCTCCAAAAAAAAAAAAACAAAAACAAAAAAATTGAAATAATTGACCAAAACGGAATATTGGGGCAGTTTAATGCTTTTACATTAACATAAATCTTAAAATTTATTTGGAATTACCTAGTCAAAATCAAAGGGAAACTCAAAAGAAGAGTAATAGTTTTTTTTTTTTTTTTTTTAATTTAAAGAGAAATAATGTTGGAATGTCAATTTGAGAAGTGAGGCCGAGTGAAGAGGGGAGAAACGAAGCGAGACGGCGGCAATAGCCTATATCTACTCGGTTCCTCTGGAGCCTAATTCAACATATTGGTAGAACCATAGCAATCCCATTAAATCAAGAAGAAATATGAATTTATATAATAGGAAAACAAAACACAAAAAATAAATTTCCCATTTATATGAATTTAAAAACAAAAGAAATATAGTAATAAATTCCTTAGAGGAGGAAAAAAACTAGGGCCGGCAATATGGGTCACGACACGGCGACACGACTCGAAAACAACACAAATTTTACGGGTTAGGGTTGAGAAAAAAGAGGATTGGGTCAGAATTGGATCGACCTGAAATTGACACGAAAAACATAGGTCAATTTCGGGTAGGACCCGCCTAACCCGAACACGACACGAAACTCGTAAAAAACTAAAAAATACATATATTTTTCATTTCATATTTTAAATTTTATTATGAACTTGTAAGTTATTTCTAATATGTAAAAAACTAAATAAAAGTATACAATTTTCATATCAATTTCGGATTCACGGGTCAATTTCGTGTCACGGGTCATTTTCGGGTCGTGTCGTGTCAACTCGTAAAGTGGTCGTGTCGTGTTTGTGTTGCGATTTTTAAAAAATTTCGTGTCACAGGTTGTGTTCGCGTTGACTGTAAATTTAAAAAGAAATTATCAAAACACGACACGAACACAACACGTGACACGAATTGCCACCCCTAAAAAAACAGTTGTTTTTTATTTTATTATATCACACTGAAGTTTTTTCTCCCCGAACTTTTTTTTTTCCTTTTTCTTCTTCCAAATAGGTAGTCGTCAAAACCCATAATCATACAATTCCAGTTTTGTTTGCAATTCTCGTCTAGAGGAGAAAATCAGAAATACAAAAGAGAAAATGATTAAACCAAGAAAGAAGAGAAAAATACCTTCATTGAACCAAAGCCACTGAAAAAGAACTTAAGACAAAACTGAGGGTTACTCAGTCTCTAGTTCTTTTAAAGTGCAGCTCCCAATGGCTGGTTTGTGGTGGTGCTTTTTAACTGAACTGCAGCAGAGGACAATTATCGAAAATAAGATAATAATTTTTAAAAAAAAATAAGAAAAAAAAAAACTACAGCAGAGTAGAATATAAAATGGCCAGTCTCGCTTTTTGTTGAAGTTTTAAATTATTAATTTATTTTACCTGTACTTCTTTTTCAATTTTGTGCTGAAACTACATGTCATTTTCTTCAATTAACAAAGAACCACTTGAAGACGCCAAGTCAAAGAACGTGCACTTCTTATATGGACTTAGATATCTGTAGCTCAAACACAGCCATTAGAAATACTGATTTCAGTATAAAAGTTCTACTTCTACGTGACTTAAATTGTATATCCTTGCTATATCTCAATCCAACTACATCCTGCGTCTTTCAGAACACCTCTTTCAATCATGTCCCTTTGTACTTTTCCAGCATCTTCCCAATCTCCCCGTTCAGAATAAACCTTTGACAATAGTATAAAAGTCGTATCGTCCTCCGGTACCAACTGCAGTAACTTCTCAGCAGCCCATTCTCCAAGCTCTCTGCTCCCATGTATTCTACAGCCATTAAGCAAGGATTTCAATATAGCTGGCCAAGGAGCATAGGGCATTTTTTCAATCATCTGTCTTGCATTTTCAAGGCGTCCATTTCTCGAAAGCATATCGACTAAACAACCGTATACATCTTTACATGGTTCCATTTTGTAATCTGAGATCATTAACCCAAACAAAAGACCGCCTTCATCAACAAGACCCATATGGCTACAAGCAGATATAACTGACACAAATGTGGCTTGGCTAGGCTGTAGCTTAACCGACTTCATCGTCTTAAAGATTTCCATAGCACCTGTGATAAGCCCATGACGAGCATAAGCCATGATCATGGTGTTAAATATAACCACGTCATATGATCCGCATGACTGACGGTAGGCCATCTTTGCACTGTCAATATCTCCACATTTTGCATATGCGTCTATTACCGCACTCGCGACAAACACTTGTGTTTCAAGTCCAGTTTTGAGCGCAAGAGAATGAACAATTTTGGTTAGATGATAACCAGAAATACTGGCACAATAACTCAAAATGCTGCCCAAAATAAACTCATCGGGCTCCCCACCAGCTTCCATCAGAGCCGTCAGGAGATTGATAGCTTCATAAATGTTTCCCCGATGTGCCAAGGCAGATATCATAGTCCCCCAAGATACCTCATCCAACCTATCAAAATCATTAAAGAATTGAAAGGAGTCATCTAAAAGCCCAAACTTAACATAGCCGTTAATTAGTAAACTACGAATATAGCCATTTGAAGAGAAACCAGATTCAACAATGAGACCGTGAACATGTCTAAGAACTTGTTGGTTTTCAATTTGAGAACAAGCTTCCAATATGCTGGAAAAGGTATACTCATTTGATTCGATTCCTAGGCTCCATAATCTGACAAAAATCTTGAGGCTCTCCGCGTAACAGTGATTTAAGTTGTACCCACAGATCATCTGATTCCAAATAGTGATTTCTTTAGAGCACAATGTCTCAAATAATGAACGGGCCTTCTTCATAGCTTTGCATCTGGCAAACATATTGATGAGTGACTTTGTCACATTAACTTCATCATGGAACCCAAAGTTTAGAGCAAGACAAAAAATTTGAAGTCCAAGCTCAAGGCCAAGCGTCTCTCCACATAGTCTAAACAGGATTGAGAAAGTAATATGGTTTGGCTTCATTCCTCTGAGAAAAAACTCATGGATTAAGCACGCAATTTCTGTTGTGTCCTTATCTTCAGAGATAGATGAAAATAGCGTGTTCCATGATATAATATCTTTGTTCTGTATCCTATGAAAAACCTTCATAGCAGAGTCCATCATACCATTGCTAAAGTACATATCCATCAAACAATTCATCAGAGATGTACTAAATCCCACATCACCTTTGATGATTAGCCCATGAAGCTGTTTTCCGAACTCCAGATTAGCCACACCAGAACAACCTTTAAGAGCATTGACGAAGGTTAAGCAGTCCATATTTATGCCTCTGTGCAGCATTAAAGAAACAATTTTTAAGGCCTCAATTCCATGTCCGCATTGCACGTATCCTCCAATCATAACATTCCAACAGCCAACATCGAGATTGGGCATGGACTCGAACACCCTTTCAGCGGATTGAATGTCCTCTAACTTAGCATACATGTTCAAAATAGAAGCGCCCACAAATAAGTTCAATTCAATCCCCGTTTTCAAAGTGAAAGCATGAATAGTCGAACCAAATTCATATGCTCCTGCAATAGCACACGCCTTTAAAACACTCCCGAGACCGAATTCATTTGGTATGAACCCACTTCTCACCAATCCTAAAAAAAACTCCAAACCCATTTCATGATCTCCATTTTGAACTGCACCAGAGATCATCAAAGTCCAAGAAACAAGATTTCTGTTAGACATTTCACCAAACACCTTAAGCCCATCATGAAAAACCCCGCATTTTGTATACATTTTAATCAAATTATTCCTTGTG